CTACCCGTCCAAAATAAAATTTGATGTTTGATAATATCAACCATAAGTCCTTGAAAATATAAAAGTAATCTCTAAGCCATTATATACGAGAAGAAGAATCATATTAATCGACGCCGCCAGAAGAATGTGGGCGTTTTCCTGAGATGATCAAAAAAGAAAGGCTAGCTCCCAATTGAACTAGGATTTGAGAGAATGGACGCGGTCTAGCGCTGACCCTAGGTTCAGCACTGTAGTAATAGAAACGAAAGATTATTTATGCTAGTTTTCGTGGCAAGGGCTAATATCTAAGATAACAAGCAAGCATCCAAGACCAACACGCAGAAAATCACCTAGGAACACCCCGGATGGGAGAAAAAAACCCCTCGACCGCACCAGGAGACAGCGACTTAGTAAGCGACTTAGTAACAAACAAAAAAATTTAAAATCAGAGGGTGCCAAGCTATGTATAACAGCAATACCCCGGACCCCAACCACAAGAAGACCCAAGCCAGGAGATCCTTGCCCAATAAGCCTACCCCACCCGGCCTCCCGCCCCAACAAACACCAAGCGAGACCCAACCGCTCGTCAATAGTTCCGCAAAGCCTTATCGTGTCATAACTTCATAACTTATCCCGCGACGTCATCGAAGAAAGCCAAGACCGGACCTGACCCTCTGGACCACAACTTGGTGGACCGCCCCCCTCTTCCCTACCAGGTGCCCAGCCACAAGCACAGGCATCGGCACAAACTGACCCAAAGCAACCTCCCGCTCAAGAAGCCTACCACAATGCCCCAGATGGCATGGACATCGGGGAAAATTCCACTTGATATCCCCACAAGTGGCACCACGAGCGTGGAGTACGCACAACTCACCCCCGGCTGCTGGCAAACTGCATGAGAAAACTAGATGATGATCGCCACAATTACTTACTTGTAGGCTTATAGGAAAGCTTGTCACTATTCAAACCATAGTTCATGCAGTCTTTTCGTCGCAGCCTAATTCTGGCGCTGACTGACGTGAAACCTATTCTGATCGTTTACATCCTCTACGTCTGGACTCCAGGAATTCGTCAGACAAGGCGAAATCCTTAATTGATCCGTCAGAGTGCAAGCTGTTTGGAAAACCCTCCGAAGCCTTTCTTAGTCCAGCCTAGCATCTCTCCGGCTGGATAATGCTAGCCCTGAAAAAAACAGTTGTCGTGCTCGGTACCGTCGCTTCCCTGTTCATGCGTAGCAGAAGTATAGGAATAAACATCCTGCCACCATTCTTACGTTGTCAAGCGTGATTATACCGTCGTGGCCTGAGAGTCCGGACCGGATGCAGGGATAATTCGCTTCAGCGCGTCGAAGACGTTCTACGAGCTGCGTGTGCCTGAAATGTGGGGGTTTCCGAAAATAAGGGACCCTAATATAGTACCCTAGTAGTAGGATCCTCATTATAAGGACACCCAAAAAAGGTACCCGTAATTTTCGGAAACTCCAATGAGCACTTGGCATCAAGATCCCTGAAGCAGATTTGCAGCCAAGAAGCTTTGGCTTAAATGATCCGCTCTGCCAGACTCCATGGCCTTTCTCCAGTTACGGGAATCGTTCTGGGAGTGGCTCCTTCTTGGGCCGGGCCGGCCCAGACTTAAACTTACAGTAAGACATTGGATTCAAGCTGAAAGAGGATAAGATTCTAGGTCAGTGCTATCGCACCGATCCTTCTTCAGGCTTCCAAGAACTTACTCTCCCCCAGGGCTTCGTTTCATTGGCTGCGCCACGGAATTCCTACAAGCAACCCATACGGCTTATGCATGGCTTCGCTCTTCTCTCGTTGGCTTCACTTCTTCGTTGATGCCTTTCCTGCTTGCTCCTTCCTTCCTTCCGACATGTTGGTGTCGGCCCCACTTCCTCCAAGCCTGCTGCAGGTGGTCCAAAGAACATGGTTTGCCCAGCTGATAACTATAGGGGCCCTAAGCCTTAGGCCAAGGTTGCGTAGTGTTTAGTGCGGGGGCCCCCCCGACCGTTCGGAGGTGGGTTGAATGATCTGGTGCCCGTGGCCTCCTGACCCCTTGACGCGGTGACCTTGGCCAAAGCAAACAAAAAACATCTGCCGAGCCAAACAAAGGACTATTGCACCGGCATGAATAAGCCAAAACATGCATTATAGACGCCCATGACACTAAAGACAGTCAAGACAGTACCCCTTTCGAAGTATATCGTGAAGCTGGACGCCGCTATGCAAGCCCTTTCAATCGCAGCCCCCACAGAACACGAACTCGGGTTGGGGATGGGATTTTGGTGTTGAGGGGGCATACGGCTAGGGGTGCAAGGGTGCTTTTGACAAGACTTATCGAAGCCACGGGATGAGAGCATGAGAGCTGAGACGTCCTTGTTTTTGCTATTCACGCTGTCTCAAGACCACACAGAAGGAAGGCCAGCTTCTTTGTCTCGTCGCCGACCTGCAACCACGCAGTCTGGACAGCTAGGTTTCAGGCTGGCCAACTGGGCAAGCATGACAGGATGGAACTCTGAAAACCTAGAAGTACTTACTCTTAACCCGAAACCCTGCATATCTGAGCTCGGTTAGCCACGAAGCCACCTTCTTGGGCAGCAGCGGTGCAAGCTTTGTGCGGAGGAGCGCGAAGAAGTCGCCGCGAGTATCCTGCTTGAACACGTGATGCGTCATGTTGAACCCCGATGAAGTCTGAGACGAGGTGTCTGGAGCATAACACAAAATCAACATGCAGCATCCTCATCCGAGACACCGTGCCGCTGTCTTGCAAATTGGCGGCCACTAGTGTAAAAGACATGTCGAAAACATCGCTGCAGATCTTCCGGAGGTTAGCTGAGAGAAAGCAGATGCTCTCCCGGGCATGTGTGCACGCGGCCTCCCCCCCGCTGCTTCTCTCCTTCCCTTGCTGTATCACTCTCCCGCTGGCTTTCGCACTCTGTCTCCCTCCTGGGAACCAAGTGTCAAATCCTGTTCGGTGCGATCTTTCAAAAACCCACCCTACCGACAAAAATGGCACTACAGAGCTCGGGTCGACAATCGAGGTTGCCGAACAGAATTTCGCGTAGATTGTCTATAGGGTTTTGGTTCAATTTCTTCACCTTAACCCCATGACCCTCAATCACACATGACCTGTCCTAATTTTATGGTGCTCTGTCTACGCTTCACATGCAATCACACTCCGCCTGCAATGTCAAGACATCCCTCAGCTTCTTGTCGTGAGCCAGATCCACGATGAGAAGCGACGTGGACTCGAGGTCCAGGTGGCCTTCCTGGCTTCTGGGTCTAGCTATTATGGTTACCATCAGCTTGGTGCCGTTGTTGCTACCAGTATGATTGCTGTGGTTCTTGCCCTGGTCAACATTCATCATAGCTCTGAGGATTCCACTATTCTTGTCACTGTTGTCAACCGTAGAAGCTTCAATCAGCATGGTGAGAACTTCACTAAGCCAGTCATGAACTTGCTCCGAAACTTGGGCTCTCAATGCCGACATGTTGAAATGTAGAGGGCGCAGCGTACTTGCTTGGAATCGTCGTTGTATATAGGCCTCTACGAGGCGTCTCAAGCGACTTGGCGTCGCAAGCGCCAGCGTGGCTCCAGCAGCAAGGGCTTTCGCCTGACAAAGTCGTCTGGGTTCGGGCAAATCCTTTGGGACAAAGTAGGATGCTTTGGCTGCCAGCTTTACAGAAATCTAGCTTATGCGACACGAACTGATTTCTTTCTGCATCGCTTCTGAGCTTGTCGGACACAGTGTGGAAAACTGAAGCCGATCACATTGAAGCTGAAATTCGTGAAACTCCCAGGCCCCTGGACCCCATGCGCTGCCACGCTTCTGGAAGGTGTAGAGTCCAAGCGGCAGACAACACTCGCTGGCACTAGATTCCGAACCTTTCCGAAACCTCAGCTACGGACTCCAGAACCGTCTTCTGCCTGGCGTAGCACCTGGTCTCGTTTGCGACCACCACCGTGAGCTGCCAGAGCCAGGGCCTCTTCAAAACGCTCGAAACCCGAGCTTTTAGGGTTTCAAATGCGATGTTTCCCATCCTCCGAGAGTCGTCTAGAAGGAGTCTAGAAGCCCCTGTGAAACGGCAGCGACTTTCGGATTGAGGCGATTTTGTGGGCTCTTTGCCTGCTCCCTGAGCCCGAAGACTGCTCAGGGGCAGGGCTTGGACTAGGGGGTTTGGGCTGGTAGGTTTTTTAGATGATTGAAGGCTTTGGGCGGCTTCTTGCTTGCTTCTTACTTGAGGGGACATGGGATCCTTTGGTGGAAGAACACCCGTTGATTTCTGTGTGTCACGGGGTTGTCGGGCTTGCACGAAGCAGTAAGTAGCATTTCTGCTATTTCGAGACTTGGCTGAGATCTTCGAGCTCTCCACGTCCCATCAAGCCTAAATTGTCAACCGAAGCTGTTCGCGGTTGAGAGATTCGAAGTTATGTACAGAATTTGCTGGTGTCTACGGCACTTCAGCAGCCTTTTTTCTGAGTGAAGCTCCCAAGCATGCGAGGGACAGGGCACAGTCAAAGTTCGAACGTTTCGTGAGCCTGACACCTCAACAACGATGTGAGAATCCGACGCATCCCGAAAACTCCTAAAGATCTGATTTGACCCAGCAAAAACCAAGAAAACTCACCACAAAGCCCTAACCCTCAAGTGATTCCAAGTAGACTCAGACCTCGAAAGGCTCCAAAATCCCTCAGCCAGGCACCTTTATACCCCAGGAGCCGTCCAAGTCTGCCTCTAGGAGGGAGCTTCTCTCGGGTGCAAAGAGGGCTTTCGGAGTTCGCTTCCTGATCTTTAAACTTGTCTGCAGGAAGCTTGGGGAGATCTTCCTTGGGAAGCTGTGTCTGCTCTTCGCTTGCAAGGTTGAGCTTCCATGGGGACCCTCTCGCAAAGCACCCACTTCCTAGAGCATGTGATATACCAACTCAAGAAGGGCTTCGCACGTAGGCTGTTCTGTGAATGCATCAGGCTCAGGCTTCCGCCCGTTTGGGTCTTACTCGGGGTTGCCTTGGGCCCTTCAAGCCTTTAAGGGATCCTCCCAGGGTGCTACAGTAGGGTCCCCTTTAAGGGATCCCTTAAAGGCTCTATTCTGGGACAAAACCACGTAGTGCCTTGAGCGCAAAGAGGCGATCGGTGGAGGCACAGAGGACGAGGATGGCTGCTCCCGGGCTGCTCGGCGTCCTCGAGTTTAGGTTTCGGGTTTCGGGGTGGTGTTTGGGGGTTTGGGGGCTTACATCAGGGGTTTGGGGGTTGAGGGGGTTTTAATAAGGGTACTACAGGGTTACTGTGGAGCCAGGATGGATCAGGGCATAAGGGGTACTTTAGGGTTCCGAAAAGTCATCGGCTGAAGTGAAGAAGAAGGTCGAAGAGGAGTCTAAAGCGTAGAGTTCAGTTGCTAGGGTTACGAAGAAAGGACACTCGCAGACTATAAGGGTGCTCAAAACTTAGGCTTCAGGTGTGGGGCATGAACCAAATTTTGAAACTCGGGGTGTTCCGGGATCTCTGTGCACATCTAGACGTTAGAGCTTCAGGAGTGAGGGATGTATATGCCAGGTATGCTCTGAGGGAGGATTGCGCCGAAAGCAGCGTGTTATCGTCAGGCTCGGGCTCTAACCCTGCTTTATCAAATCCTGCAGAACCAGCCCTCAGCCTGGGATCAGATAGTTCCTGGGCATTCGGATAGGTGTCGGGGAACCCCCTCCCGGAATAGCGCCATCAACGAAGGTCGAGGTGCGCTTGGCCAGCACCTTGCACGTGGGAACACGGACAGTACCGATCGAGTGGCTTTCGAGTAGGAGGACGCAGAAGCGATTGCTGAAGAAAAGAAGTTCATAAAGTGTATGAAGTTGACAGTTGACAGCAATGCTTATAGTACTGGCGCTGCGCATACTCCTACTCCAGCTCCTACTCCCGCTACCACTCTAACTGCGCCTTCCTCCCCTGCTGCTGCTCTCACTACAAACACAGCTGCTGAACTGCTGCTGCTCTTGCTGGTGACAGTGCCACGTCTTCTACTACTCCTACTGCTACTGCTGCTGCTGCAGCTGTTGCTCCTGCTCATACTCCCACTCCTCTTCGTGTCCACTGGCCATTCCTTCCTCTTGACAATCTGTTCACTGCAAAATGTCCATATTCGATGTGCGGGACCACATTGTAATTCCAACCAGAATCCCAGGGGCCTCTTAAGCTGCCACTTCGATTCGGGAAGCCCTCGCATTGAAATGAACGGTTGCCCAAGATATTCCTATGTCGCACTCTGAGATCCATGGTCCAAGAACCTCCCCAAGAACGGGAATCCTGGATCTTGGATCCGCCGTAGTTGAAATCCAATATGGGCCCAAGAACGGGAATCCTGGATCTTGGATCCGCTGTATTCGAAATCCAATATGGCCCAGAACTCTTTTCAAACGTGACATGGGCGAATGCCCAATTCAGAATGAAACTAACCTCAAGGTGGTATCGTCGTGGTATCTGTCTTGCAGTTCCGTGCAAGTCTCACGGAAGGTGGCCTTTAAACGCAGATCTTTGAGGAGGATAAGGTACTAAGACACCGAGTACACACATACATACATACATACATACATACATACATACATACATATATACATACATGCATACATGCATACATGCATACATGCATACATGCATACATGCATACATACATACATAATATATATATATATATATATATATATATATATATAGTAATATTACTATATATATATATATATGAGCGAGAGAGAGAGAGAGAGAGAGAGAGAGAGAGAGAGAGAGAGAGAGAGAGAGAGAGAGAGAGAGAGAGAGAGAGAGAGAGAGAGAGAGAGAGAGAGAGCGAAAGAGCGAAAGAGAGCGATAGAGAGAGACATGATCACAGTACCTCCAGGTCCGTGCAGGGATGTGCTTGATCTGCAGAATAGGATTTGGGTTGAAGCAAGGGAAGACCTTGAGGCAGCAGTTCGACTCCTTGCAGGGCCTGCTCCATTGTAGTACGACAAGAGACAGTACTTTCGTCATGTCATGGCCGGATGATGCTTGAAACGATACCCCTTGACTTGGACATTCCTTTGCGGCAAGCCTGCACAAGGTAGCAACACACGCCATCGGCTGATGCAAAGACTCTAATAAACAAGCTCAGGACAACTGCCATGAATGCCGAATCTGGGCACTGGTGCTAAACCTGAAGCCCTGAATCCAGACCCTAGCCCCTAATCCTTGATCCCGGAGACTTGTAAGTCCCCGGCCCAAACTCTGCAGAAGCTGGGAGCCAGGGAAGGCAGGCTCCTGGCCAGAGGGTTGGTGTGCAAATTTTGGGGAGCTGCAGGACTCTTGAAGTCGCAGGTCACTTGAACTTTGAGGTTTGGGTTCGGTTTGCTGTGCTTTTGCTCGGGAGCTTTCGGGAATTCGCCCATTGTCGAGATCCACAAAAATCACGGAAGGCCTGAACTCGCGCAGAGATCTGGGCCCGAGGCATCTAGTTTGGAAGCTTGCTAACATGCCCGAAGCACGAACACATGTTGCCTGGCAGTGGTGCCTCAACCCCGTCTAATCTCCTTTGCTCACTCTCTCTTAGTTGCTCTTTCTCAATTACTCTCGCTGAGTTTCTCCCTCTCGCTCTCTCTCTCTCTCTCTCTGTATATAATATATATATATATATATATATATATATATATATAACTATATATATACACACACACGCACTCACACCGAAAACATACGTGCACGTGCACACATAAACATACAACTGTATGTACATACGCGTACACAAATATGTTATGTATTTCCTGTCTCTGTGCACTGTAGGATTTTGTAAACACATCACGATGTGTACATACATATATAATTACACATATATGTACGTATGTGACATGTGTATGTATGTATATACGTATGTATGTACACGCGCCTATAGAGCCTGTATATCTGTCGGTGTATACGTGTCTGTGTATATATGTATGTACGCATCCATCCATGTACCTATGGATCTAAGATTACATGCGTCTATCTATTTTCCAAACTAGAAGGCACAACCCTCAACACTCGTGGCCTTCGAGGCCCAGTTCCGCAGCTGTGCAAGCGGCAGCACAGGCGGGCACGCAACGAACCAAGCAGCCGCCGGAGACACCTCTTTCCTGTGTGGCATGAAGGGGCTGTACCCATCATGACTGTCGGCTGTCGAGCTTCGGGCCTACAGACTGACAGGCTGAAGATGTGCTTCAAGCTGTGTCGTGGTTGCTGCTGAAGGCCAGCCCATTCTTCAGAGTGCATGTTTGTCCTGCGGCATTGTAGCTGATGATCACCCGGCAACTGCGCTGCTGCTGCTGATGGCGACGACGACGACGATCATGATGATACGCCACTAATGATGCCGTTGTTCTTGGTAGGTGTTGCGTCTGCCGCCGCGCGGGGTGGTGCAATTCTTCTGCTGGCATGCGCTCAAACTCGAGTTTTGGCACTTTCGTCACCTGACGTTTAACTTTGCTTTTGCTTTCGCATCGGTTTTTGCGGTGTATACTAAAAAGTGACCCTGCCGGCGGGCTCCAGTGTGCGAACACATGTTCGGCTCTGCATTTTCGCATCGTGTTTTTCTATGTTTTCCTGTGTGTCGCATTTCGCATCGTTTTTTTGCAGTGTTTTTTGCAGAATTTCGACTTTCTGCACATGCCGGCTTCGACTTGCATTTGTCTTTCAGCGCTGTGCGGGGTTTGGGGGGGAGGGGGGGGAGTGATGACGTCCATGCGAACGCGGCTTGTGTCTTCTGTTTCTCTTGTTGTTTCCTATGTGTCGCATTTCGCATTGTTTTTACGGTGTTTTTGCCGATTCTCGCATGCCTGCTTAAACTTGCAACCTGTCTTTCAGCTCTGTGCGGGGGTGGGGGGGGATGGGGGGAGGGGGGTGATGACGTCCATGCGAATGCGGCTTGCGTCTTCTGTTTCTTTGGTTGCGTTACTTCTCAAATGCTACCAGTTGCTCTGTCAACCCGTGCTTGCCGTTTCTTGTTGCTTCACTTTGGAAACGTCCACCATGAAAAAAACCTCGCGTTTTTTGAAGCTTTCCAGAGCCTGAAATCAACATAAATCAAACACGAAAAACATGGTATTTGCGATACTTCCGCAAAAAAACAGACCAAAAAAACACGACAAAGAACTACGTGTACATAAATTTTAAACTCCGATACATCGTCGTGATGATGAAAACCACAAAACACGGGGCTTTCTACTTTTTGACCAAGAAACCTCCCAAACATAAACGACACACCCCGCGCGGCGGCAGACGCAACGCCTTCCTTGTTCTTCCGCTCGCTTTGGCTGCATTTGTGGTTGATGATGATGTTCACGGTGGTGACCATGGTTGGTGATTGTGATCAGGTCTATAACTGTGACAACAGCACTGGACGTTGCTTTTCATCAGATACAGTCTGATTTCCGCATGCCTTTCTCTCAGCAGTTGTCCAGTTGTTCTGACCGTCGCGACCGTCACAGCAGCATCAGCCAAAACACAAGCCTTACCATGTACAGTTGTGTTACTGTCCCGTCTTGTCAGAGAAAGCGGATATCGTTCTCGTACATCCTGCTCACGAGTAATTCCACTGTTGCTCAGGTTGCTCTTACTGCTGCTTGTGCTGGCGCTGGTGCTGGTGCTACCATCGCTGTTGCATCGGGGCATCCAAGCCACTGCTGCTCGTCTGACTGTCCGTTCATGTCGTCGTCCAGAAGTTGCAGTTGACGCTGAAACGGCCCGAAACCGTGAGACTTCGTGGCTGCCAAACTGAACTCGAAGTGGCTTCCGCTGAAGAACCGAAGCCTTTGCAGAGAAGTTGAAGCCGCCCATGCTTCGGCCAGGCCACGTTTCAATGGGTGTCAACTTCTTCGCTTTTGCCTCTGCGACCCAGGCGGTGGCCAGCCTCCACTCAGGCGGACACAGGGAGTTGGCAGGGTTTGCGCGTGAAGGCGATTTGAAGTTTCGGCTTCAGGACATAATTCTTGGAGAATCTCAACAGCTTCTCTTGGAGGCCTGGTCTGTGCCCACCGCCGCAGCACCTTCGCGGTTGCGCCGGTCTTCGGCGGCTGCTCAGAGGATAGCACGGCCTTCACCACAAGTCTTTCCGGAATCAAGGCTTCTATAAGTCATACAGCAGTCATTGAACAAGATGACTCGGTACAGTAGCTCGTACAGTAGTCTGCGGCCGGCTTACCAAACAAAGGAAAGCACTTGCAAGATGACTGCTGGCGAAAACCTTGACACATAAATGTTGAATGCGTGGCGTGCTTTAAACCAAGCTGCAGTTCCTAATCTTAAACTGGCAAGGCGCCCTTCGCGTCTTATTGCGGCCCATCTCAAGTCAATCTCTCTCTCCTCTAAAGCGATGTGAGCCTCGACTCGGACTTGGAGCCGAGGAGCGTTCAGCACTGCGCCGCCCTTCTTCCGCTTCTTCGGCGTCGGCTGCTCGGGCCTAGTCGTGCCAGCGCTCTCGCTTTGAGTCCGAACAGTGACGACAGCATGAAGAGGAGAAGAAGACAGGTTTGATTGCAGTCTATTCTTCATCTTCTGTGCCCTTACCAGAAGGTCGGGGCCCTGGTGAACCTGACGAGTGAAGAGTATCCAAGGCTGGCTTCGCATGGGTCCGGTGGCTTTTGGCTGATGGACGCCTTAGTACAGTAGGGAGCGTTAAAAAGAAAAAGAAGTCTCTCTGCCATGGAAGGCTAGTGGGAACTGGGAGAGTTGCGGTGGACCTTTAGTCTGGGGCCTTTTCTCCAGCGACATTTCTGCGGCGTGTGCTGCTAGATTGCTAGATCTTTCCAAAGTAACTTGTTGTGTATGGCGAACGGCTGACCTGTCTGAATGTAATGACCGGTAACTGTTCGGGCTTTTTCGGCCTTTGCATGTAGAGATATGTGAGGAAACACGTGGAAGACTTCGCATCCTGAACCCAGCTCGACTCCAAACCCGTAGTCCTATGAAAAGGTCCCTGCATGCCTCGCGTTTCTGCAGTCACCGCCTGCCGTCTGTGCATTTCTAGAAATAGCTATCACCCCCTTGAACTTGTTCAAAGGGCTCCGCTGTCTGCTCGGCGTCGCATGCCAGGCGCTTCTTGACACGCCTGGGATCTAACACAGATGGTTGGCATGGCAGTCATGCACATAGCTGCGGGCGGATCATAGAACATGATACACTTATTACGTTATAGAAATACATGTAACAAATCCACTCACATGTAAGTAAGCAAGTAATTATGTATGTAAGCAAGCGGGTATGTAGGCACGTAGATAGGTAGGTATGAAGGTGTGTGTGTGTGTATTACCCTACGCATTCGTCAGACCCTGCTCTACTTCACGGGATCTTCACAGGGGATTACATGACTCAGAGCTCCTCAGAACACGAAGGTGGGCCCAGCCTCCGCTTGCCTCCGCTCCAGTTGCCATCCAGGTCCAGATCGTCGTTTCCAAGTGAGGCCATTGAGTCCGCGACTCGGCTGCTGCACAGCGCAGGTCGGGAAACAAATAAGCGGGGTTGTTTAGAAATCAGGTCGTTGAAATTGTGCGATTGGCGACCGCTTTGTTGCTACTGTCCTGATCGCCTTGCCACTGCAGCCTCCTTGTTGCACCACAACTATATGAGTCAAGCCTGTGCACAGCACCCCAGTTGCGTTTTTTCTGATGAGGTTTTGCGCTTCATGTATGCATCGTGAATGCAACGGTGCTGTTCCGAGCCCATGTATCACTTCAAACACGTCGCATCACGGAGGTCAAAACCTTAAGAACCATTAGCTTTCCGAACCACAAGCCGGCAACATGAGGGATATTTTCTCTTCTATCGCAAGGTAGCTTCGAGCCAGAGCTGCAACAGAAAATAACAAAAACATGAAATGGGTTAGATCAGCCCTAGATATAGCCTGCAGAAAGGATGCTCCTCTGGGCCGAGGCTATTCGAGTGGAGGCGCATAAAGCAAGCGAAGAAGCCACAGGCCCTATCCTAGCTTTTCTCACTATGCTTCTGTTGGTTGTTGTGGCCTCATCTTTCTGTGGCTGCCTTTGCCAAGAGTTTTTGCTTTCTGTCTCAGATGGCAGCTTCAAGTTGTACCGTGCTCAGCGAGGCACGAAAGGCTTCGGTTTAGTGTCCCTGAATTCCGCTCTTTGATGCTATAAGGCCCTAAACCCTGTCGGGCCTAGCCTTCGTTCGTTCATCCCAAACCCAATGACAGTAGAATCATCTGGTTGCTGCCAAGCATGGGCCTGAACACCTGCACACCAACCTGCAGATGGCTGACCCGCCTCTGAAAGAAAAACACCTCCGTACTTCGGCATCATGAAACCCGGAAACTCGGAGTTCCTAAATCCTGAAGCGAAAACCCTCACAAGGCCGGCCTCATCGGCATCCTTCCTTGGAGGGCTTATCAGTCTCTTCCACGGAAGACTTCTAGGAGATGCATATTATGACGCTGGTGAGGCTTGTGAGAATGATGATGCTGGCACTGCCGATGATGACGCCAATGACGACCGTACACCAATGACGAAAATGATGCTAATGCTGGTGTTGATCATGCAGAACATGGTGGTGATATGACGAAGACTATGCTGCGCAGGTTGTGGGTGATGGCGAGCCAAGGCTATGCTGATCACCTTGCAATCAACGGCAAAATTCGCGAACGATTGTATCCTGGAACTACCTGGTCGGGAATCTCTGAGCGAGTCACGAAGGCAGGGTCCCTTGTGCAGGTTTCGGGCTGAAGCAAGGTGGTCATAACGACTCAATCGCCTGGTGAGACGATCCAAAACTTGACGACAGTCGTACGGATTCAACCACCCGTTGACATGGAACAGGCTTGAGCCCGACAGACCCATGTCGTCCGGCCGCAAAGACTGAACATGAGAAAATTAACCTGCAGCATGAAGACTGCGACTGTAATCCGCGGGCACAACACCACTGCATCCTGCATGGCTGATGTGTCAGTCCAAGGTACCCGTCACCCTCGGTCTGCGAGCGCACCAGGAAGGTCTTTACCGCTTGTGTCAGCCTGTGTCAGCTCTGATGCAGTACACTCAATACAGCTGCATGCCTGCATACATGCATACTTACATACTCACACTTGCATGTATGCAAATATGTGTGCAACAGAACATGCTGATGTATGTGTACACGTACATGTATATTTTTGTGTGAGACTGCATATATATATATGTATATGTATATACACGTGTGTATATATATATATGCAATATATATATATATATGTGGAGAGAGAGAGAGAGAGAGAGAGAGAGAGAGAGAGAGAGCGGGAGAGATATGTGCATGAATGTAGGTGTATGTATGAACGTATAGATGTACGCACACAGATACGCATATAATGTGTGTACGAATGCATGTAGGAATAAATGAACGAATGAATGTATGTATGCGAGGATTAGCCGGAGTGTTAGTGTTCATGTCTGTATGTGTAATTACATATCAGTGCACGGTTCTGTGAGGCGGTCGAGTTCGATCGGGGTCTCGGCAAACAGGCTGCGACCACTCCAAGGCTGGAAACCGCAAAAGCCTTAGCTGCCTTTGCAGTAGCCTTTCTGCTGGGAGTCGGCAAGCTGCTCTTCAAAAGTGGGAAGGCTGCAAGTCAAGAGAGGCCACTGGCCGCTGGCCTGTCCAGCATGCGGCTGGAGTACGCCTTCTTGCTCGAACCATCGGGAGCCTGAACGGGACGTTGAGTTGGCTGTCGCTATGAACTGCAGCTCTTTCGCACACTTCAGATCATTCCTGCGGCGCCTTTGCTGCTGTCGCAAGTGGGTTGGTGTCAGGGGTTTTGTGTGCTGAGGCTGTGCGATTCGTCTATGACCGTTCTTTCAGAGGTATATAACAGCTTGGCCGGTTTAAAGCGCCGAGGCTTCAGAGGACCTGACTCAACTCTGCTTTTCACAGGTTGTCCATCCTAGACTCCAGACGCCTCAGAAGCAAAGACGACCCTGCTTGATAAGCAAAAGCAACCAGATTTGATGCTTTTTCAGTCCCAGCTGCATCCATGCACCACAAAAGCCAACACTCCGATCCTCCACCCAGAACCCACATTCCCCCGAGTAGAAACCCCAATTTTCACCCTCCCTCCACGGGACGTCCTTGTCAAGCCCATCGAGGCGAACCCATAGGGGCTCGAAGTGTGGGAACACCTCCTGAGAAGAGTTGTAAAGGTAGGCAGTAGGGCTCGCGAGTGCTTTTATCACTGCTTGCGCCTTCCTCTGCGTGTTGCGTTTGCGTAACACAAGAAGGCGGCTGTGCTCATGTGCACTCTCAGAAGATCAGGGGCAGCATAGCACGCACAGGGGAACTGCCCTTCGGTGGTCCGAAACCTAAGTGATGATGGCACATCCAGGTCCCCACATACATAACATAAATACAAGCCACACCTGACGGCCCCTGACAGCAGTCCTTGTTAAGAAAGGTCTCCAACTTCCTCAGGCAGTGTTTTGAGGTCAAATTTCTTTGAGCCATCCATCTTAGCAACTACTGGTTCAAGGACGCGAGGTTGGGGCTCGGCAGGATGGAACTTCTGACCTTGCCACGACCCTGGAGTCTGGAGCCTTCCACAATGCTCTGGCACTGGGCATTCGATGAATCTGCCCAATCATTCAGTGCGCGTGTGGCCTGATCTCAGTCCTCAGCTGGGCCCTAGGCATCCTCGAGTTGAACCTCAAAAGCCTGCAGCGAAATGCAGCTTCGCACTTTCTGAGCTCTTCGCCCCTCGCCCAGGCCGGCGGCAACGGACACGAGCAGCGGCGGGGCGTTGTTGTAAGCTGCCAAATCAGCGGGCGTGGACACGAGCAATGATAGAACCCCTGGCTCGCGATATCGATCTGGGCCATAACATGGATAACAACTGTCTGCTGATGCAGGCCGGCGCTGAGGGCAGGCCGAATGCCTTGACCGAGGGAGATCACGTCTCACTGATTACTCGAATCGAAAGCATCCCACTTTCAAACCCAGGCCGGGTTGGCTGAGCGTGACTTTGGGAACGGCTATGTGCAACTCCACCTGGACGGGGCTGGCTTTACCGAAGGAGCCTTGGTTCGGAGGGAGGCGAAATCATGGACGAGGATCACCAAGAAGAGACTTCAGATTGCTGCCTCCTACGGAGAGATAGTGACAGAGAGAACAAAGAAAGCGAAAACCGTAGCGGTAACAGGCAGGGATTACCCGCCCTCCCACCCCCTCCAGGCCGCCTTAGAGTTGATGGCCTCAGCTAGCTTGGCGGTTCGCAGCGTCTCCAGCTGCGAGGTGTGCTGGGCATGCATCGCCATGGCCTGCAGCATTATACTAATAATAATAACAATAACAATAGTAATAATAATAGTATCATGAGTCGGGAGCTCTCCGATGTGCCACGGATACAGCCGTGAAAGCAAGAGGTCCGCCGGATAGCAAGTAATTGCAGGTTCATTTGTATGCTGACTGGACGAGACTCTAGGCCAATATGACATTTCTTGCGTGTGCACCTTTGAATCGACCCTTGCTGCTTCGAGCTACCCGATACACCCTCGCTCCTTCTCTGCTGCTGCCATCGCCACGGCGACGCTGTGCGCCATTTCCTGCACCCATGCAGCTTCAATGCTAAGTTTAGGTTTGACGTCGCTGTAAGCCTTGCTCAATATTGGCCCCACAGTTCTAGCACAGAAGCCATTTGGCCGTACAGGAGTAGGCCATGAAAGCATACAAGAGCTTTAGCTTAGTTGCCGAGTTCACAAGCCCCCCCAAACGTACACTTTTAGTTTTATAGTGCGTTATACTGACCCGAAAAGTGTAAAGTGTATCCACTCAGCTACTAAGTTACGGATCGCACCCCGGTCCTCGTGGCGCTTGGCCTGAAGCTGCTGCTCCTCAGTATCAATCATGGCGACTAGCAGCTAGCAGTCTGGGAAGCCTAGCGCAAGAGTCTGGGAGTTGTGAAGCCTGGCGCAGGAGTCTCGGATAAGTGCACTAGTGTCTGTCATAGCATAACGTTTCATGCAGCAAACAAGTACGGTAACATAATATACTGCATGGCCTGCCTGCAGCAGCTGCTGATTCTCCATCTTCAGCTTCCGGATCGTTTCTTGCAGATCCCGGATCTGGCGGGCGATCGGATGTAGCATCTCAATGATCACTCGCTTGTCGTCTCAGCTTCATAACTTGTTGCAACTTGTGTTACTTTTCGGGAACGGTTCTCTGGTCTCTTTGAACAATAGTCAAGCTTAGCTTGAAGGAGGTCGAGATGCAGCAGCAGCCACTGCAGCCCTTTGTAGGTCCTGTGTTGCAAGGCTTGATAGTCGCAGAAACCCCTCAAGCATTGCCCAACTCGATACTGTAGCTAGGGCTAACCGTTTTGAGAAGTCGCCTTGTAAGCACAGTTTGAGGGATCACAATCAGCTTATGCTTTCCCAAACCTCATGTCAGTGTTCCCAAAACTGGGCATGCATCCGCATTTCAGGTAGTTGCTGGTAACCGTTTAGGAGGCTTGGTGGGATAAAGGCGCTCGTCCGTCCCTCCCCGTTTCACTGCCCAGCTGCCTGTGCCGCATTCTGCTCGTTTGCCTGCTGGTCTCTTCTGTCAGCAGCCTGACACGTAGGATTACGTCTCGACTGGAGGCCATTTCACATAACCACTACGTGCTTCGACAAAGACTTGGAGTTCTTCATCTCTGCAGCACTAGATGTGGCAACCCTATGTCCTATGCGCAGAGGAACATGTTCCATAGTCTTGGCAATGAACAGGACAGCCCTTTCCAGCCTCGCAAACCTCCTGCGTCAGCTTCTGCTGGTCTGCCAGACCCTGATGTGCGCATTGGCTTTGATCCGGGGGGGGTGTCGTGCTAACGGGGGTACACCCGGCCGGGAAACAAGACTTGTCGAGCAAGTGGTTGTCTAGAAGAAGCTGGCTATGCAGGAGAAACGCAACAGAAAGCCTGACAGTGCACGACTCCGTGTAATCAGATCCGGCCTCGTTTGCACGAAACCCCGAACCCTAAACACCCCGATATTCAAACCTCTCCTCTTCAGTATCAGGAGCAACTCACTCCCACCCTGAACATGATTCCTTTCCTTCCTCCGAGCCCCTAAATCGAAACCAATGAGCGCCTGGAGCCCTTTATAAGCCCTGAGCCCCCAATCCCTGGACACCTTCAACTGTGACACCCTTCCAAAGCTCTTATAAATAGGTATCAAGCTCCCCTCATCTAGAAGCTTAAGCAGCAGGACCCTGATTCTATTGACTCGTAAACAGACCTTAAACCCTTAACCCCAAGGACCCCCAACCCTGGAAAGAGCATAATATATCATGATATGATCTCGAATCGAATGTACAATAGTATACTCTACTTTAGCTACAACATAATGTAATATACCCCCGAACCCCCTGTAGGCTTTAGGGTCTAGGAAAAAAACGGACAAAACTCATTGGGGGGCTGCCTTTCGGAGGCGCTCAATCTCCGCCTCCTTCTCGGCGACCAAGGCCTGGTAAACTGTCTGAGGTGTCGTTTTTTGTTTAGAGGATCCTTTTCCAACTTCGGGTTTAGGGTCTATAGGGCTTCGAGTTTAGATGAGAGCCTTATAGGGTTTATTTCGAGTTTAGAGTCTTTCTCCTTAGACGCCCCTGTTCCGCTCTGGAAAGCAACCCTTGGGGGTTCAGGGTTTGGGGTTTACGGTCTACGGAGGGTTTAAGGAGTCCTATGATGCTACCCTGTAGTACTGTAGGGGTGCCATAAGTTCAAGGGTGCTTCCAACAGGATCCTGGAAGGTATACGGATACTCTAAGGTGGGGGGTTTGGGAATTGGGGTTCTGCACGGCTCAGGATCGAAGTCTATGGCCTCTTTTCCTCAAGCTGCGGTTTAGGGGACGCAGTCTTTCACGCACTTCAAGCCGTCAACCCTAAAGCCGGAACCTGGTAAACCACGCGTCCGAAGCTTCAAACACCCCAAACCCCGAAAGCTAGTAGAAATCCTTCTCCCGAAAGCCCCTTGAAGCCGTCAGCCCAACCCACAGGAATTGTGAAACCCCGACTTTACCGCCTCAAGCTTCGCGCAAAGCTCCTCAGAGCGTTCGGCGCGCTGTCGGATGCCATCGACCTGGCCAGGGGAAGTTTCAGGGGTTCAAACTTCCGCCGTGGCGTTTGGAGCGAGTACCATAGTCTATTGCAGTTTTAAGCATATGGGGTGGCAACACAAGATTTAGAACAACCCCGGCAAGTTGACTTTAAATGCCGTGCACTTGCAAGGGGGAAAAAACAGCGTGCTGGAAGACCCGGCAGTGGGTGCGCGCGAAGCTTAAAATCTCTCTAAAGCCAGGTCGTAAGACTTGCATCCTACACCCCGAAACCGCAAGTGCTAGTTGCGAATGTTGCGAACTGCCCTGAGCAGTTCATGGACCTGCGTCTCGAGCTCGGCACGAGACGCAATGGCCTCTTCAAGCTGTGTTGAAAGCGAGGCCACCTGGCTGAGGGTTCCGCTGAGGGCTTGGAGATGCGGATTTTTCAGGCTTCATGTAGGGGCCTTGATAATTAGAATAGGGTTTCGTGGGTATCTTGTTATATAGTTATACAGTATAATGGAGCCAAAAATCTTATTCTAGCTATTAAGGCCCCAACATTAGTCGCATCTGAGGGCAGGCTTGACAGTCGTACTGAGTTCCTGCGGCGAGCTGCTTTGAGCATCATGTGCGAGGATGATATTTGTAGCCACCGGAAGCCTTCTGAGCCGACGTACTCTCTGCAATGGGTCCCCACAAACATCGCAACGTACTTGACACACACCAGGCGTCGTCCCCACAAACATATCTCGGAACGATGGAGATGCGTCTGACTGCGGGACCCCGAAGACCATGATGCCCCAATATCCTGAACCTCAGAGACGCATCGTTGGTGCGGTCACCTCAATACTCAAGCCCTCCCACCTTTGACGACTAAACTCCCAACCCCGCAACCCTAAACCCAATGCTCTACCGAAGCCGGAAACCCGGAACCAAACGAACAGACACAAAACCCCAAACCTTGAGCCATACGATTCCCAGGCCTAATAAGCCCTAAACCACCCTCCCTCTTCGCGGCGCACCTGTGGCTTCAACTCCTTGAGCTGCTTAGTGGACTCCTGGAGTTCAGCCTGCGCGGGCTTCGGAGAAAATCGACTACGAAAAGCAAGCCAGAACTGCGCCGGGGGGGGGTCTTGGGTCGCAGAAACCGGCGGTGAAAACCATGCAGAGAGTCCTTCACGACTCAAAGATACGCGGGTCTTTGACTTCTTTCACAAGCCGACCAACACACTCGCCCCCACCCCCCCCCCAGGCTCCCAAAGCACGGAAGCGTCTTGGGCCGAATTGTTTTTGGATCGAAAATGGCTGAACGTGGAATGCCTCGATCGATGTCCGAAGACGCAGCGACAAGCCCCGAACCGAAGAGGCTACCCAAAAATTCAGCCGTGGACCCAGACAAATCGAACTGCGACTCACCCAGACGATCGAATGCTCTTAAACTCGCAACCCTCAAACTGCGGCTCTAAGTCCTGGAAAAGCAACTGTAAAGCCCATGTTCCAACCTGAAGTCGATTCTTCTCCTCGTTCAAAGCATCACGCTGCCTTCAGTTGCCGTGCTGTGCTTTAGCCGGAAGACGCTGTGGGGCAGTGCATCGATTCAAGCGCTCTGGCGGGCTTTTAGCTGAGGTTCGGGGATTTCAGGGCACCCCCAAACAGGAAGAAGGCTCGACACCCAGCCAGAACAGCGCTTCGCATCTGGCATCAAGTCTCAGCGACAGCCCAACACCACCCAAACCGTGGTGATGCAATCACTCAGCACAATACCCTGTCCTGACGCGTTTTACCCTGACACCCGAAAGAAGCACCAGGTAACGGCCTGTCGTAGATGTTGCAGCATCGCTGCGTTTTGTTGTTGTATACAGCAATATACACCTTACAGACCTGATGCACATGCAACACAGTCAGGTAGTCCTGCATGCAAACATCCATGTAGTCGTACAATTGAAATTCTGTAAGCAAAACGCATGTAACATGCTATGCTGTGACATGCTAAGTTAAGTGACTTCGGTTATGTAATGCTACTTAATGTCTGTGTGAACCTACGTACCTCCGTACTGCGTTCAGGTGTGCACATGTACGTGTGTATGTATGCAAGCATGCACCCATCGATACACTGTTGCTTCTACATGCCTAAGCACGTATGTGCCCGAACCTCCTGAGGTGCTTCAAGCTCGCCGGCGTGAGCCCACAAGGCTCCTCGGAGGGCAAAGGCCTCGCATGGCGGCCGAAGAGCTTGAAGCTTAGCATCCTACTACTACTACTACTACTACTACTACTACTACTACTCCTGCTGCTGCTGCTACTACTACTACTACTACTACTACTACTACTACCCCAATCTCCAAATCCAATGTCAGTCAGGAGGCGCTGTCTGGGAGAAACTCTCGCCGTCGTTGTCCAAAGCCTCAGCGACCAACTAGACCTACTGAATTCTGAGAATCGTGGCAGCATTCGATAGTCTCCAGTCAGAGTTCGGGGCCTAGGGTTGATCTGTGTTCTTGCGATTCTCGAAAACTGTGTGGGCATGACGTGCGGTTGCGATGCGCTATTGGAGTCGACATACAAGCTCCTAACCGAAGAGTTCTGCAAGGTTTGAGGGAGTATTGTGTTGAAATTGGGCACTCTCGGGTTTCGAAAGGTCTCTGCGGGCAGCAGTTTCACATTGGCTCGAAGGAACATACTCATCACGTTCGGCGAAGATCACTCAGGTATGGTACTAGTTTGTTGGCCAAGAGTAGCCCAAAAAAATCCTTTATAGACCCTTAGCTTAAGCTCTGGACATGGGCACCACTCGCCTCCTTCGAAGGGGGCGTGCTTGCCACGAGCCTTGGAAGTTTGGGTCTCAGAGACGGGGGAGAGCTTGGACTAATCGACCGGGAGTCAAGAACATGATTCATTACCACACTCCTTTGGAATCCGTCCAAGTTTTGAAGACGGGGTCTAAGTCACGACGCGCCCTTTGCTGTAAGGGGGGTGCGACAGCTTCTTAAAGCTTACAAAGCCTGGTACATATGAACCCAGCTAGACTTGCGGACTTCAGCTCGAAAACACGTGTAGTCAAAGTCCGACAACTCCGGCTGCAAGGCACGAAGACTCCTCGCCGAGCAGCGGCAGGGACGGCGTGCCAGCCATTTGAGACGAAGGGCTCTCCAGCGACCTGTGCTTTCAGCTGTATGTGGGCAGTTGCAGTGGGTTTAGGGTTTAGGGGTTTAGGGGGTTTAGGGTTTAGGGTTTAAGAGGGTCGAATATTACCGGTTTGGCGTCGTTCATAGTATAATGGGCCCCAAACCCCTATTCTAATTCTTAAGGCCCCTATATGCAAGGTATCTGCGCTGTCATAGTCTGGGGTGGAAAAGTGGAAACTTCCGCGGCAGCATCGCAGAGGCTCAAGGCGCTACCAGAACGCTCTGCTCTAAGCACTGCAACCCGGTTGGTTATTTTTGGGGGCCGTTAGGGCTCCGATAAAGGGTTACTATAAGGGATCTATGGGAATACTATAATATAGGGGCCTTAATAATAATTAGACTAGGGCCTAGGGTTTTGGAGCCCATTATGCTATATATATATATATATATATATATATATATAGTTATAATACGGAATCCCAATAATAGTATTGATAATTATTTAGGCCCCTATAGTACTCCCTCAGTACCTGTAGCCCCGGCCCAACTGTCCATCTACAAACCGAGGAATTGGTTTCGTCCACGGCTGTTTCTCACATGGCAGTGGCCATCCTCCTGTTGGCTGCTACAGGCATATCGTTGTCCCAACCGTTCCACGGATCTTCTACAATAGCAGCCCTGTCTTAGCTGAACAATGTCTTGGTCGCGCAAGGCTGCGTCGTGGAACCAGCAGCGCAGTGACAGTTTGCCAAGCTCGGGATGTCAGAATTTTGCACGAACTAACTTGAGAATGCAACAACATGCAACAACTAGGTTTTTCTCGAGGGTGCACAGAATCAGAATGCAGCCCTGCATGCGGCCGTCCTGCAGGCTCCATCGTCAAGAATCTCGAGGCAAGAATTACAACCGAAGTCTAACCAAAGAAGGAGCTCTGTGGGATCTGACTACACTACTGGTGCTGGTGGTATCTAAGCTCATGGCAGCGTGGCTCCGCGACGGAGGACATTGCTTGTGCCGCGGGGGACACGGCCAAATCCTCCGGGAAACTGAGGACTCTTGCAGACCTGTTTGGGCCATTTGGGGCGTTATAATGCGGGTGTAACAAAGGGTCTTTAAAGGATCTTATAGGGCGTAAGGGCGACATAGCGGGCTCGGGACTGCTTAGGGTCATGCTGGGGGGCTTGAGTTGAGGGTTAAAGGAGCATGATGGAAGCTTTAAGTGAGATTTATGATTAGTGAATGCTTCGCCTTCTTGTACGTTGCTATTTAGGAGAGAGTGCGTGCAGGGTTTTCTCTCAAGTTCAGGCTCTTTGAACTTTGTAGGGTTCTTGAGGGTCTACAGCGTGCAGGGCCTCTGGGATTAGGACCCGTTCTACTCTTGTTGACTTCGTAAAGTTCTCACACCAAATGTCCATAAACAACTGCAGGAAAGTGATGTCCTGAACTGCGATCGACTGCATCATAGCTTTCTGATCTTGTACTTGCTTGCTTCAAAGTAGCGAAGCAACTTGAACTTTCTTCTGTTAAATCCGGCACGCACATGCCAAGCGGTCAACAACACGTGACTCCGAACATCCTGAGTCCCGAAATCCCAAATGCCAAGCTTGAAGAACTCAGCAGGATACGAGCAGGAAACCAAAACAAGGGTTCGCAATCCACCGAAGCCCAAATACCAAAAAGACGACCAAAGTCGAAATCGCTGGATCCCAAGGCGCCCGAATTCGATCGCTCTGGCGCTGCGGGGCGACTTGCCATGACTTGGTCGAGGAAGGTTTAGGCTCGTGTTTCGTGGTCTAGCGACTCATAGATTTGAGGTGGGTGGCTGAAGGTCTGCATCTCGGACGGCGTAGACGTTACAGGTGTAGGAATAGGAGCAGCGGCATCAGCAGTGGCAGCAGCAGCAGCAGCAGAAGCAGAACCCAGAGGCTGTTGACTAGTTGCAGAAAGGTGAACACCAAAGTACGGCCGATGGAAGAACTAAGCATTCAGCCCAAACGAGTATACAGGGGTTCTGCCAGCATGTATTGAAACTATACGTATGCATACATACATACATGCATGCGTACATAAATTACACATGCGCACATGCGAACAGACACACACACACACACAAACACAAACACAGACACAGACACAGACACACACACAGACACACACACACACACACACAAACACAGACACAGACACACACACACACACACACACACAGACACACACACACACACAAACACAGACACAGCCACACACACACACACACAGACACACACACACACACAGAGACACACACACACACACACACACACACACACACACACACACACACACACACACACACACACACACAGACACACACACACACACACACAGACACACACACACAGACACACACAGACACACACACACCACACAGACACACACACACACACACACACACACACACACACACACACACACACACACACACACACACACACACACACACACACACACACACACACACACACACACACACACACACACACACACACACAGACACACACACACACACAAACACACATGCACAAAGGCACAGATACAGACACAGACAAAGATGCGCGTGCTCAAACGCGCGAACGAAAGTTGCGAAGGAAGGAATCCATATTCATGTGAGCACCTGCTTCTACGTACTGAAGTTTGCGAAGCTGTCGCATGTAGTACACGTGCACTCCATCTACAAACGTGCTTGGCAAGGGAAGACACCTGGGAGTCGCACGTCCCTCAGGCGTTGGCGTTTGACAAGGCCCGATTGGACATGGGAAGGCCCCAGAAAAAACGACAGCAGAGCAGATTTAGGGTTGTCGGCTTTGGGTACTGTAGGCTAGGGCCCCGATTAAGAAGCCAGTTGTTCTTGCTAGTGGGCTTCCTAGATTCCAGGGTGTCACTTGAGAGTGCAGGGCTGTGTCCATGGGAGTCATAATGCTTCAGCATTAGACCTATGCTGTTGCAGTAACTGAAACCGGCGTAGTCTTGGCCAGGTGGAATCATGCAGATGACTCTGGCTAGTTCATTTGAGAATGTCTGGCTTGCTTGATCTTGCTGGAGTGATTGTCATAAAGTGCACTTCATTGAATTTTCGAACGCCTGCTGCAGGAAAGTAAAGAGAAATAGTTCGCTCCACATATCCTCCAAGCACTTGAACCCCCACAGCTGTCGTCGCCCGGCGCTGTGGTCTCTCGCAGATAAAATCAGATAAGCATGCATCTTCTGATATAATTAAGCTCTATGATGGCAGCAGGATGCAGCAGGTAGATGCATTCCATTCCCAACATACTACCTCCCCTAGACACACTTAGCATGTCCTTATCCTGCTGACGATGGTTCTACTGGGTATTGCTGGTTCAACCATGGGCTAAGATGACATTCACACGCATGCCTAATGACCGAAATGACGGTGATGAGAAGACCTCCAGGACTATTCTCTGCTAGGTCAATACTATAGGGTTGCCGGGGCAGCACATTACCAGACCTGTACAAAGTTTGTAGCAAACGGTGTATGCAAGGCTTCCAGCTTGGAAGGAACAAACAGAAGAAGCAGCACAAGCCTGCATGTGTCCCCGCCGACCCTGTAACGAGGAGGCAGCCTCAAAGGAAAAGACTGAACATCCCTCTTCACCCGACTCCTTCCTGGCAACTCCAACACCTTCACCTCAAAGAAACTCACACACAACAGGTATACGGACAATAGTCGAATACAAAACTGAGCCGCCACAACCCTGACACAGTCTGCCTTCTTCGGCACAAGCCAAGCTTGTTTGCAAGTCGTGGCTGCGCCATATGTACAGACACGCCATCGTTAATGGCTCTAGGCTGTAGGTATGCAAGGGGAGGGGACAGGACCTCACCTGCACATGGAAGCAAAGGGCAGGACTCGCAAATGACTATCCCTGCATGTTCCTGTTCTTGACGCCAGAACGGCCGTCCCAGGCCCACTACGGTACTTTCCTGCAACAGGAAACCCACACTTCCATTGCCCCACTAGTTAGCTTGAAAGACCCGAGAGTCCTCAGTCCCAACACGCCCCTCGGCGCGACTCGCGTCTCAATCTATGGCCGAAAGCCGTGGAGCTTCCAGACGCGCACGTCCTGTCAGGAAGACAGATCACCATCACGATCAATATCACCTGCATCCTCATCCTGATCCGAACATCGTCATCGCCATCGCCCACACAATCGTATAGTCACCAGCACCAAGGCAGTCAAGCTTGGACCTCGGCCTCTAAGCCATCGCAGAAAACCCTCAACCTGGGACTGTCGGCATTGGCTCAAGAGTGCTGAATCCTCAAACTCAAAGGTCCGAGACCTTCAGAGCTCTGAAGGTAGGAACACTAACACCATAGAGCCCGAAAGCGCTAAGGAGCACTACGGCTCTAAATCCCCAACCGCAAACTGAAGTTTAACCGCTTTTAACACCGAAGCCTTAAAGCCTTAAACCCCTAAGCGCCCCGGAGCCCGACACCCTGCAAACACGCGCAGTGCCCTGACGCCTGGATGGGAAGCTTTGCTCTTTGGCTCGGCTCGGCCTGCACGTAGTCAAGCATGACCTGGTCCTGAGTCGTTAGTGTTTGGCTGTCCTGAATGATAATGCTAACTCACACTGAGGCGAATGCTGATACTAAGACTACTGACACGGGTACTAATGCTGCATCTTCGGAATACCATACCCCGCATCGCTGTAAACCCTCCCACACAAGCTGCGGAGATGCCAACTGCTGTCCAGATGATCTTGCACATCATTGCTGTCGCCACCGGAATCATCATCGCCACCAGGCATCGCCAGGATCCATCTTGCAGGAGGGTACTGTCAGCTGCCCAGCCGCTCATGAGAATCACAACATCCGACGAATATGAACCTAAATCCCAATCTCATGCTTTGACTTGCAGAGGCGGAACATTGGTTTGCACCAGATGCCGCCTGAACACGCCTGAAGCTGCTAGACCCGAGAAATGGCCTACACATGCCCAGACTCTGACATTGGCATCCTCAAGCCTTTTCACACCTTAAAACCTGGGGGCCTTTGGAATCTAAAGGCCCCAAACTGGATAACACTAGAGAGCCCTGACCAGCAAAATTCCAGAATTATTCAGAGTACTATAGGGGCCGTAATAACTAGAATAGGGTTTTGCCACCCACTATAGAATTACAATAAGGATCCCCGAAAATAGTAGTAGGTACTTACTAAGGTCCCTACAGTAGTTGACGTTACAACTCGGTCC